TCGGGAGGTCAGTAAAGTCTCTGATTTGTCGTGGGAGTGAGTTCCAGATTGGACTTTTAAAGTCAAATGGAAGCTTTTCTCTTAGAAACGTAACATAACGTTATAAATCACTCTTAATCTCTGTGTTTATTTTTCATTTTGACTAAATGCTCTGCCCATGAATGAATTAAACTCCCTTTTGGGGACTGTCCATTGTTCCGATGGCCCGTTATTGCAAAACCCCAAATTCAACTTTTAAAGTCAAACGTAAAACAAGATACGTTTTTTTCTTCTAGAGGTCTAACCGCACCCTACTGTAAATCTTGGTGTTTGTTCAGCTCAGTCCTATTTTCAGATCGATTCTCCCTACGTGTTTTTTGATGGCCCATTTTGACATTTTAATTTATAGGGAATTAGTGTTACCCCTGCTCCTGGTCAACATGGTACGGTCCAATTGAGCACACCAGTTTTCACTGATTGAGCTCTATTCTGTTGATCTGTTTGAGACTCAGGAGCGGCTGTGAAGGACAGGTTACTCTTAATTTGGTGTTAAATATGATTAAAATTAAAACTGTCAATGTGTTTGAAAGTATTGTACTCGATTTATCCATGTGCCATACGCAATAAATGATGATGTCTTCTGCTTTAGAAAAGTACTGGAGTCCATTTAAGTTAAATTGAACAAAAGAAAGGCGTAAAAAGGTAAGAATCTCGAGATGAATTGGGAATTATTGGAGACAAAGGGATGAAAGAAAGATGAGAAATGTTAGATATGGGGATAAAAGAGAAGAAAATCAGGTCTCTGGCTCTTTGGAAACCATTTTAATGTTAAATATGATTTAAATTAAAGTACATTTAACCATGTGCCATATGCAAAAGGTGACGATGTCTTCTGCTTTAGAAACGTACTGGAGTCCATTTAAGTTGAATTGAGCAAAAGAGAGGACAGAAAATGAAGAGATGTGAGTGCAAAAGGTAAGTATTTGGAAACAATTGGGAATTATTGGAGACATAGGGATGGAAGAAAGATAAGAAATGTTAGATATGGGGATAAAGGAGAAGAGAAATCTGGTTATTCTGGCACTTTGGAAACCATTTTGATGTTTATTTGACAAATGTCAAGCAAACATTTAACTGAGTAAGTGCCGTACGTAAATAGTGACAATAGAGTAGCTTTAGAAACGTACTGGAGTCCAATTAACTTAAAGGTCACCTATCATGCTATTTTTAGGCAATAGCATAGGTCTCACATATATAAACAAATATATAAAAAACATGTCTATGAAGTGTTTTGCTCAAAATACCAAACAGATCACCCATTCTAGCCATGCCTCATATCCCTCTATTTCACTTCCTGTTTCTAAAGTGCTGATTTGGGGTATAAAGCTTTAACCTCTTAAGCACGGCGGTCCCCCCATTGGACCCCTCCCACCGTCTTTTTTTCGAGATAATGTCTCAGGGCTTCTTAACATTTATGAAACTATTAATGTGTAGTACCAGATTAACGGGAAGAATCTCAGCTAACTGAAGATATGAACCATTTTTACCAAAACAAAACACAAGTCTCATAAGAAGCGTCTAAATGACCCCTGAGCGAAAAAATTCTAACGCACTGCGGCACACAATTCAAGATAAAGATACCCTTATTACTTATCGTAGCTGCACATACAATATAGCCGATTAAAGCTGAGACTCCACTGATTATTTAGGTATAGTATCATCACTGAGCGATCCTAAATTGCGACAGGGGAAGCAAACACAGACATCACAACACGTACCTTTACGGAGCTTTTACGGCAGATCGTCTCACCGTAGCTGTCAATTAGGTCAAAAGACGTGTTCAATGGCATTAAAACGAAAAAAGAAAAATGCTACAACTGTTGATCCATAGGTTGATAATGTACCTGTGCCTTTAAAGAAATTATTTATGATCCATAATTCCATTTTTTATGTAAAAATCGGAGCGGAAAAGTTAGCTGCTAATGGTAGCCACCAGAGTGTATGCAGCTTCCGGTTTTGGTAACGCGTCACTCTCACTCCTTATTTGTTAACGTGTTGGTGTGTATATAACTTTCCCTCGATTCCAATGGCTCTAGCGGTTATAAAGAGCTTTCATTCATCAAAATCGAGCAAGGGGGGCCAGAGATAGGTCAAATCCACCCAAATGACCCCAGAAGTGGGGGTTTTGGCTAAATCTCTCTAAAAAGGTCAAATGTCACTTGTTTTGCATCAATCTTGATACAGGGTACTTATTATATGTTGTACTTTGGATTCCTAAAGCTTTTAGTCTACTAACCCATCATCCAAGGGTAGTTTTCACTATAAGTAAAAAAGAATTTTTGGACGGACACTATAATTTACAGTTTTTTACTATGTAAAATCTGAATTTTCTTTAAAATAAAAAACATCTATATTGATTCTGACTTTTCTACATCCAACTCACAGGTTTATCATTACTTTGAGAACAAAGATTATTAATTTAACCCTTTTAGAAGGGAAGATATGGTCATTTGTTCTGGGAATGTCATTTTCGAGCCTGAGACCTGAAAAACAGGCTATGGGCTTTAAGATTTAAAAAAATAAAAACTGATAAAATAAAAAAGGAGGGGTCTGAGCTCATGCGGGACCCGGCAGCTACTGTCTAAACTAAATGCTGCCGTGATGAAACGCCATATCATGGATTATCAAGGATTCTTTCTGAAACAGTATGGAGCTCAAAGGCTTTCTCTCTTGCCGGTTATACCACAAGGTGAGTTCCTTTTTATTTCCTGCTTCTTCACACACATGCTCTCCAGTACAGGTTAGCTCTGAGTGTTAGCGATGCTAATGTAAACACCGACCATATTACGTCCAAAACAGTCGGGCATTGTTTCTGATAGCAACGTTTCTGATAGGGCCGTGGGTCCACGTTTCAGATATTACGTCATATCGGACGCAAATCTGGATCAGCTCCGTTGTTCCCCCGTTTTTAGAGATTTGGGTACGGAGGAAAAGAGAGAGGGTTTTATTTTCTGACGCTGCGTGAGTTCCCTGACACACTGGGGACACATCTTTATGTATCAAAGACATCAACAAAGTGCATTTAGCATGATAGGTCCCCTTTAAAATGGGGAAAAGAGAGGACAGAAAATAATGAGATGTGAGTAAGAAAGGAAGCATCTTGAAAACAAATTGGGAATATTTGAGTTAATGGGAATGGAAGAAAGGTAAGAATACTAGACAAAGGAGTAGAAGAGCGTGGGAATGGAAACACGGTTAAGACGCACACACACGCACACACACGCGCACACACACACACACACACACACACACACACACACACACACACACACACAGACACACACACACACACACACACACACACACACACACACACACACACACACACACACACACACACACACAGAGAGGTGACTGTGACGTCAGAGCAGAGCCGGCTGACCAGCCTCGCGCTCTCTGTACATCTCCACGCGGCTGCCGCACGCCCTTTAAACCAGAAGAAGAAGAAGGGGGAGAGAAGGAGGCGACGAAGAAGAAGAAGAAAAGGGGGGAGGAAGAAATCTCATCCTCGCGCGCATTATTGTCATTTGGACACTTTCCATGGACGCTGCTCCTCAGACAGGATTGTGAGTGTGTGTGTGTCTGAGAGTGTGTGTGTGTCTTGGCACTGCTCCACCCCCCCCCTCCTTCTCTTCGTCGCATCCAGGTGTTGCATTCAAGCGCACTCGACCGCACGAGCCCTCTCGAGCAACAACAAGTTGAAATTCTTCCCGGCTCCGCGCGCAAGAACCGGATCCTACTACCGGATTTTATTCCTTTTTCAATTTATTTTGCATTTTCTTTTTTCGTGCTGGATTTCTATTTATCGTTACGGGAATTAACGTGATTTTTTCCCGCAAATATGAGAATAATGTGAACAGTCTGGACGGGAACAACGTGATGTGTGTGTGTTTTTAAAGCACATTGGGAAATAATGACAGAGTGAACGGACCCAAGACATTTCTGGGTTAACATGTGAAGCTTCTCTGCAGTGTCTGGAAACATTCACCGGATTTCTCCTTTCTTGTGAGCTTTATTTCAACACAGTGAATGGACCCAAGACATTTGTGTGTGATCATGTAAAGATTCTCTGCAGTGTGTGTGGAAGCTTTACCGGATTTCTCTTTGTTGTGGGCTTTTATTCCCCAACTAAACAAAGACATATTTTCGGGTTAAATCCACAGATTCCCCTGCAGTGCGTGTTGTTTTTGTGTGTGTGTGGACGCCTGGTTGTCTCTCCGCGCGCCCTCATGGTGCGGCGCGAGGACACGGAGCATCCTGATCCTGATGCTGAGGATGGAGATGCTCGCTTAGATCCTGGAGATGCTTCATTTTGACGATAATAATAATAATAATAATACGTGTATAGCGCTTTTAAGTCGCTTTTACAAAACACAACAAAGATGAGTGAATTGGAAACATTACAAAGAGAGATACAGAACCGAGAGCATTATGTACGATGGACGATGACCTCCAGCCCGAGAGAGAAGCACGCGCCCCCGGTTCCATGCGCACGAGAGGACGTCGCCCCCCGGAGATAACCACGAGGGAGGGATATTAAAGGTCCCCTATTATACTGTTTTTCATCAATATATCACAGGTCTCAGATATATACAGAGCCTGTCTCTGATTGGCTGAAACACCAAACAGATCATTGCAGCATCCCATAATCCCCTCTGTTTCAGCCCTGTTTCCAAAGTGCTGATTCTCTGTCTGTTACTTTAGATGAAAATAAGGAGTCCCTCCCCACGCCCCTCTGAGAGACATTTGGTTAAAAATAACTCAATGGTGGTCTAGGAGGAGATTCAGGTGATAAGGTGGGGGAGTTACCTTGGTTGCTGATTGGCTAATGGTTACACAAGACAAAACAACTTTATGACATCATAAAGTGGCCAAAATCTGATCAGCTCATTTTCAGACAGGTTTTTATAGAAATGGATCAGGACAAAAAGTGAGAGAATCTTTGTTCCTGAAACTTTCAGAGTCTCTTTCCACAGAGGGGACACATGTTGATGTAGAAGAGACATGAAGAAGTGGATTTTGCATAGTAGGTGATTATAGGATTTAGAGATGGAGCTGTCGGAGGTGCGGTGCTCCAGCGCCAGCGAGGATCTGTACACCATCAACCCCAGCAGACCCAAGCGGCTGCTGTGGCAGAACGCCGTGCGGCACATCACGGAGCAGAGGTTCATTCACGAGCAGGGCGGGGGGGTGGAGGTGAAGCACGAGCCCTACGACCCGCAGGAGAAGACCCGCACCTCGGTGGGGGGGGCGCACAACAACGGGGGCACCAAGGTGTTCCCGGCACGCGCCAGCAGCGACCTGGGCTTCCTGCAGGTGAGCTGACACTCTTAGTATTTATAGACTCACCCTTCTAACAATTGAGGTGTAACCTGATAATAGAGCTGCAACTCTGTGTATTTATAGGCTTCTCCTCTTCAAAGATTCAAAGGTTTTATTGTCATACGCACATAGAATAGAATTGGGAGAGATGAAACCCTCTTTAATGGTCTCACATGCACAGCACACAGGGAAATGTGGCCTCTGCTTTTAACCCATCCTAGTACAAGGAGTCTAGTACTAGGAGCAGTGGGCAGCTATTGTACAGCGCCCGGGGAGCAATGGGAGTGAGGGGGGAAGAGGGGTGTCCGGTGCCTTGCTCAAGGGCACCATAGCAGGGCAGGAGGTGAACTGGGACCTCTCCAAGTAGCAGTCCACACTCCACATTTTAGGTCTGGTCGGGGACTTGAACCGGCAACCCTACAATAAATGACTAGTCAATCGTCACATTTGACAATAATAACCATCCTTTTAAGGAGCTTTTGGGGGATAAAGCTATCAGCTCTTTATTGATCAGCGTTAAATAGCTGTTTCCCTACAAAAGAAGACATACTATTTAACAATAATGTCTTGCAAACTTCATTGTTCAATGCCGAGCTCAGTCTACCAAAAATACATTACATTAAAGTCGTTTTTGGCTTCTTGTTTCCATTTTTGTGAAAACAAGTTGAATACCATTGGTTTAGAATAGATCCGGTCAATGTGATCCACAGAGTCCCAGATATAACACAATGAGCATCAGGGGTTTTAAAGAGCGTTTTTAAATGCCATTGCAATGCTCTTAATGTTTTTGTAAAGCACTTTGAATCTTCTTGTGTTGAACCGTGCTCTCTAACTGACCTCCTTTCAGATCGACTGCGCTCCCAGTAACTCCGACTTCTTCCTGAACTGGGGCTACACGTATCGGGGCGTCATCTTCCCCACGCTGCGCAACGCCTTCAAATCCCGAGACCTCGAACGTCTCTACCAGCGCTACTTCCTCGGGCAAAGGCGTAAATCTGTGGTCGTGATGAACATCCTGGACATAGTGACGAAGATCACTCTGCTGGTCCTCCACCTCACCCTCGCCTCCTCGCCCATGGACCCCATTAAAGGCACCCTTCTGGGGCTTTTCACGGGTATTGAGGTGGTGATTTGCGCGCTTGTGGTGGTGCGTAAAGACTCCACGTCGCACGCGTACCTGCAGTGGAGCGGCGCCCTCAGCTGGATGGTGATGGTACTGCAGATGTTGGCGGCGGGGCTGGGTTTCGGGCTCCTGGGGGACGGCGTGGGGTACGTCCTCTTCACGCTGTTCGCCACCTACAGCATGCTGCCGCTGCCCCTCACCTGGGCCATCACCGCCGGGCTCACAACCTCCGCCCTGCACATCCTGGTGCAGACGCTCACCTCCCACAATGCACCGCTCTCCTCCAACCAGGTAAGGGTGCCCCTTTGTTCAATCTTCAAATCCTCCTAGTCTACTTTGTTGAACTCCTTCTCTGTTCACCTTCATCTATGACTTCCTTATCTCCTCCTTCGTCTCCTCTTCGTCTCCTATTCCTTCTCCTTCTTCCTCCATCTTTTTACCACCTCCTCAAATCCTCTCTCACTAATCCTTCCTTATCTCCTTCTTCTTCCGCTCTCCTCGCCTCGTCATTTCATCCTCTCTCTTCTTCCTCCCTAACCCCTCGTATACCTATAATCTTCATTCTTCAGTTTACAGCCTCCGACTCAACCAGCTCCTTCCTCTCTTTCCCTCTGTTTGCTTCCGAGTCCTTCGTTTCAGAGGAGTCCACATTAGTTCACACAGATGTCTTCAGAGTGTTTGCCGAAGCTTTCTACTGTTTCCATATCGGTTTCTTCTTCATATGAAACGTCTCTTAGTGTTTCTGTGTTTCTGTGTTTCTGTGTTTCTGTGTTTCTGTGTGTCTGTGTGTGAACAGCTGTGAGTTAGTCGGTTTGTGGACTTTCACTATGTGTGATTGTGATTTCCTGATTTGTAAGGCGTTGAAAATGACTTTAGGCGTCAGTTGTATTCATGAAATAAGGCTGTTTGTTTCTGTGTGAGCTCAGCCTGGTTTCAGCACCAGGAGCTGTCCAACACACACACGCTCACACACACAGACACACACACACACACGCTCACACACACAGACACACACACACACACACGCTCACACACACAGACACACACGCACACACACACGCTCACACACACAGACACACACAGACACACACACGCTCACACACACAGACACACACACACACACACACACACACACACACACACACAGACACACACACACACACACGCTCACACACACAGACACACACACACACACACGCTCACACACACAGACACACACACACACACACACACATACACACACACACACACACACACACACACACACACACACACACACACTCACACTCACACACACAGAGACTCACACAGAGACTCACACACACACACACACAGACACACACAGACACACACACACACAGACACACACACACACACACACACACACACACACACACACACACACACTCACACTCACACTCACACTCACACTCACACTCACACACACAGAGACTCACACACACACACACACACACACACACACACACACACACACACACACACACACACACACACAGACACACACACATACACACACACACACACACCACACACACACACACACACACACACACACACACACACACACACACACACACACCCTGCAGCAGCTCTGAATAGGCTCGACCCCCCCTACTGGTGACTATTATAATCAGGAATAATCCTCTTTTTTTTGTGTTAAAATGTATTTAGGTAAAAATGAGACAAAGCGACTATGAAGTTAAAATGCAGAATTGCAGCGAGGATCATCAGACGGAGAGTTCATTAAGGAGCAGGGATAATTCATCTTTAAACAATAACTCCCTGAACTTACTCTCCAATATAATAATAATAATGAAAACAATCCGCTTTGGTTTCCTTTGTTTCGTTTCCTGGATTCTTTGTTTACAAGGTGTTTGATAGGTCGGATAATACAGGTTGTGTAATACATTTAAAACCTACATTACGTTGCTATACACCATGCGGTTGCTTGATTTACGGAGGCAGAACAAATGCTTTCAGAACGTTAGATCAATAGGGCTCATTTTATACTTTTCATTATCGGTTAATCTGCTGATTATGTTGTAGATTCATCTATTAATAGTTTGGTCTTTAAATGACCTTCTCAATGCCTTACAAGTCCAAGGTCATGTCCTTGCTTGGAAGTCCAAAACCCAGACATATGAACATGATACCAAACAAGGGAAAGCATACAAAGAATCTCCATTTTCAAAGACTGAAAGCAGCATGAAAAATCACATGGTACTTATCATTACATCACATGTCACTTGTTAGACGCTTTTATCCAAAGCGACTAACATTCTCAATACTGTGGACAATCCCCACAGGAGCACTTTGGGGTGAAGTGTCTCAGGGACACAACGACATGCTGACTGCAGTGGGGTTTGAACCTGTGACCATCTGATCCCAACACCCACGCCCTAGTCCACTGCGCCACACGCCTCACTACAATCTATTATCAAGATACTTTGCACAGAGGATTCTTTTAAATAAGCTCTGATCATTTCCCCTCAACACTAAAGGTGTTTATATAATATATAGATGTCTATATAATTACAGTATGAAGACACAAATAATCTAGCGAAGTCTTTAAATGTCTTGTGTTGGAAGTCCGAACTGCTCCAAAATATGATTATGATACAAAACAGGGAAAAGCATTTTCTGACATCCTGCATGGAAATGAACTCTTAAACAATCACTCGTTATCAAATAAGTTTGCATGGGGATTATTTTATTAATCAGAATACGCTCTGATCATTGTCCTGCAACATTCCTGTGTGTGTGTGTGTGTGTGTGTGTGTGTGTGTGTGTGTGGTGTGTGTGTGTGTGTGTGTGTGTGGGTGTGTGTGTGTGTGTGTGTGTGTGTGTGTGTGTGTGTGTGTGTGTGTGTGTGTGTGTGTGTGTGTGTGTGTGTTCACGGCCCCGGGGAAACACCGCTGTCCACTCTGAGTTTGACTCACGCCTTATTCCCAGCTGCAGCTCACACACGGTTCAGTTCAATTTGTTCACAGTTAAAAAAACACACGTAGAACCACGAGTCATGATATCATATGTACATCTTATTTATAGGAAAACCTGCTTTTCATCAAATCTGATCCTTTTACAACATATATGCTATTTGTAGGTTTTTACGAACATTGTAATCCGGCTAGTAACCCCCAATTTTAGAAATGTATTCGGACTCTTTTATGTAACTGTAAGGGAACAAAGTCACCTGATTTCCAGTTACATGTTTCTCCTCAAGCCGGACGATAAGCTATCTGAAGCTTCAACATAGGGACACTAAACAGAAATGTATTATACAGAATCATTTACAAGCTGAAAACACCTCACGCTAACCAAATACTCTGCTATTGATAACTGAATGGTCCCAAAACATGTATAAATCTTTCTAACACATTGTTTAAAACCGTTAAAGAGCACATATTGTGTGTATAGTGTCTCTCCTGGGACATCTCTCCGTGCTTTAATGTTCAACAAGATCTTTACTTTTCTCATACAGCACCTCTTTTCACCCTCTGTCTGAAACCAGAGCCCAGTCTGCTCTGATTGGTTAGCTGGCCGGCTCTGTTGTGATTAGTCAACCAGCTTAGAGATGTCCCGCCCCTTTAGCCTATCACGTACAATGTGTCGGAGCGCTAGCCAATAGGAGCGTGAGTGTTACATAGTGATGTTCAGGTAATAAACAAAGGAGTCCAAACGCACTACAACCCAAAGAGAAAACCCAAAAAGCAGAATATATATAAACACAGATATATGACAAAGAGAAAGGAGTATTTTTCGTGGAACCGCCGTCACGCTGACTCCCATCATGCATCACTCCCATCATGCATCACTCCCATCATGCATCACTCCTCCTCTCAGCTGACCCTCGTCTCATAGAGGACATTAGATGTGTTGCAGATGACTGTACGCTGTTGTTGTTGTTGTTGTGCAGCTGAAGGGGGGGGGGGGTTTCCCAGCTTCCCCCTCTGTGGGTCAGCTGTTTCTCCGCTCACAGCCAATGACCCTAGAGGTCAAAGGTCAATGTTGCTGTTAGCTGGAAATCACGAGTCTGTCACTTCAATTCAAAGGGAATAACTCCAGTGTGTCAGAGTTTAATAACGTCTTCTAGGTTCAGCTTGTTTTCAGTCCAGAGACGCTCTTCCATTTGCTGATTCAGAGCATCATTGTGTTTCCATCTGTTTGTTGTTTTATTATTATTATTAAATACGATTATTCATTGACTTTGAAAAAATCCATTTATTGAACTTTAAAACAAATACAAATAATAATTTGAACAGTATCTTTTTAACTGTTGATTACCCTGAACGTATAATTCAACTGAAAAACCAATACAAAAATAAATGATACATTTAAATAAATAATATAAAAATAATAAATACCAATAAACAAGATCAACACATATTTTGGAGCGCACTTCCACAAGCTACTAAACATATATAAATATGATAAATACAAATAAATGAGACCAAAATGAATTAGATCCAATATGTTGCACTGTCACAACCAAGCAAAGCAAAATAATCGTTTTTTTCGATTATGTTGTTTTCGTAATTGTGGCAGGCCAAAATCGTAATTGCGATTAAAATACGATTAATTGCACAGCCCTACGTAACATGGTAAAGTGTTTATTAGTGTGTTATCCTAAACGTACTTCTGTCCTTAGATTTGCTGTTTTAAGTGCATAAGTTTGTCCTGATGAGACGTAGTGGTAAAATGCACCATGTGGCTGTGTGTGGCGCAGTGGGTTGTGTGTAGGTGTTGGGTTCAGGGGAGCACAGGTTCAAACCCCACTGCAGTCAGCATGTCGTTGTGTCCCTGAGACACTTCACCCCAAATTGTTCCTGTGGGGATTGTCCACAGTATTGAGTATGTAAGTCGCTTTGGATAAAAGCGTCTGACATGTCATGTAATGTAATGAGTGTGGTCACAAGTGGACAAAAAGTTGACGTAGAAAGGGTTGTTGAAACCTTCCTGGGGAAACATTTAGTCAATAAGTTAGTTGTCTGTGTCTGCATTTGTAATTTGCAGGTCACAACATGTCTAATTATTTAGCTGAATTTGGCAAATGAACCTCAACCAGTTTCTACCTGGTGACTAAAGTTCATGCTGAGTTCGTCTCCATTAGTACAAAGACATCTGGACACACTTTATATTTTATTTAACACACTTAATGTAAATAATATCCTGCTTAATATTGTGTCTAAAGCCCTTCAATAGTGTTTTATCGTCAGAGTTTTTAGATTTCTTATCTTCACGGTCTATTGTATATTTTTAATGCTGTGTTA